TCCCTCCCCTCCCTCCCTCCCTCCTCTCTCTCTCTCTCTCTCCTGCCCCTCCCTCTCCCTTTCCAACCCCTCTTTTGTACTTCTCGTTTTCCTTACGAACTGCTTTGCTGGAGCAATTTGAAGTCAATCAGGCCCTTTTAGGCAGTTTTATTTGTTTGTTTTTTATTTCATTCCATACATATAGATGGTTATGGGTGTTTCTTGTTTGTAGGCCCCTGTTCTTGGTTAATAGTTTTAGACCAAATTGAGAATGAGGCTGGGATAATGGTGGTAGTACCACTTGGGCCCCAATTAAAGGTCACGACCTCCATTCTCACCAACACTTTCCAAAAACAAAAATGGGTAGGGGCCTGTAATGCCCACTGATCTACCCCAAAAAGAAAAAAAATAGTTTTAGGCCAAAGAGGTTTCCTTTTTTTTTTCCCATCACAAGTTTCTTTATTAGTTGGGCCTACTTTTGTATGGAGCTCCGAGTCTGTGGGATGCCATTTTTGTCTTGTAGTTACCAAACTTTTAAGTATTACAGTCAAATATTCCACCAAAAAGAAAGAAAACAAAAAAGAGTGGTCTAACTTGGTTATTCACAGATCTTCTTCACAAGCCCTACACTGTGGGTTTGAATCCTACACTTACGATTCAAAAGTAGTTCTTATATAATGCCTACCCATTCCCTTGAAATGTCCTAAACCATGTATACATCTACTATGTGAAATCTTAACAGCACAATGATGCCTATTTATTTTTATGTGCAAAGCAGTTGTATAAAAAGAGAAGTGATAGAAAGTGATGTCTATCTCAACAAAGTACATGCATTCAGACTTTAGAGAACAGGAAAGTATACTGCATCTAATGGACTGCGTAAAACAATAAGCCACTGGGTTCATCACCATCCAATGAGATGATGCACAGTGACATGCAGAGAAGCAGAGAGAGTGAGTGGGACCCACTGCTCTCTCCAACACCATCCATTTTATCAGATTGTAGCTGCACCACGATCCATCATTTCAATGGAATACAACTATACCAGAGTCCACTGAATTGTAGTTTATTCCCTAAGAGGAACCATCAACTATCGTAAATAGTAAAGAGTGAAAAGGTCATGCACCTCCAAGACAGGATTTGGTGTGACTTCAGGTCTCAAGGCTTCCCCTTTACCCGATGGCACAAGGTCAAGCATTTTGACCAAATTGTCTGCTGCCCCCTGTTGTTTCTCATTTGGCTGCCGTGATAAAGGAAGTTTGTTGAAAGAAGGGAAATGGAACTCCCTCACATCCTCAGCAAAAGGAAGTATATTAAAGTAAAACGAATCTGGCTGATCAAATAAAATAATTGTATGTTAACTTCCAAACAAGGACAATTTTAGTTAAATTTAACAAATCATTAAAATGGTATGATGAACTAACTCCATGGGGAATGAGAAGATCAAATTCAAGCTATAACAACCAAAACTTCATACATTGTATGTGTTTGTAGTTGGATACTCTAATAGGGGCACACATTCTTAATGCAGCCAATAGATGGCAGAACTTACAATATTATCAGAGGATGATAGATTCGGTGTCAAGACACCAACAACAACATTGCCTTGCCCTTGTCTCCATACACAACGAAGAATTGAAACTTTATTTGCATTTTTCATTGCTCGTGCCATTGTAGAAACAGCGAGAATGGCCTTTCTATTGCCCGGTTCAGGAATAAAGACATATGTGTCCCTCATGTATTGGTGCCTTAATGAATACAAAAAATTAGAGGCACAGATGACACCAACAACGGATGCAGAATTAACATCTATAAGAAAAAATTCCATAGGCAATAACATAAATTCCTGTTGAAGCTAACAATTTGATCTTCGATCACAAAAGGCAGTGTAATCGAAAGGACTAGGAACACTTCTCTATAAGAAGCATAGTACGCTGAAAATACATTTGATAAATGTAATGTAGCTGTTGAATTATCTAACTGTTCCCAAACTTGAAAGTTTAGAATAAAATGATATAGAAAAGGTGTTTGTGCCATTAGGCATAAATAGTAAAGATGTAATTTCTTTCTTGTAAATCATAACCAAAAGTGACAGCTCTGAAAGAGAATTTCCTCAAAGAAGCATAAATTTCCTAGTTGCCCAATACAAAATTGTTAGTGAATGAAGAAAAACCAACCTTGTCAGTGATGAAGTTCACTTTACAACGAAAAAGAGAATGATAAACACAAGAAGTTTTGACAAACTTATGTAAATTTAGTATTTTACCTCCTGATGTTGGAAGCATTAGTAAATCCCAAAAGCTTAATGCCCTTTTCAGGTTTGAATTTCAGAGCTTCCAGTTCTGCTGAAGATATAGGAACCACTTGAGGTCCATAACGGTAACCTCTAATTCTCTGCTCTGGAGGTACAATATTATTAGGATTGTCCTTGCTCTTGTACTCAAAGTCAACCTTGACCTCATGGGTGGAAAATTTGGAATTAGGTGGTGCTTTATCAGAATATTTCTTCAGAGTAGGAAACCTTTCTACAACACTTTTCTTGTAAACCCATACCTGAATCAGAAATACAATGACCCTTAACCTTTGTTCTTCTAAGAGATCAGGGAGACTATAGTTCAGCAAAAATATGCATCAAATATTTCAAGTGTGAAAAGTCTTTCCGTTTTTTTTTTTCGACTATGTGCATGGATTCAGTAGTGAGCACATATCAAACAAATTGCTACCGGTTAGTGAGCATGGCTTTCAGCGCTGACTACTAATGTTGTGCTTAAGTTAGTTGGAATGTGATTTCCCAATCTTAGCTATTATAAATTTGAAAAAATGTCAATGAAATAAAAGAAGTTCAAATTCCAACTCATAAAGGTTAACACTACATAAAATTCCTTTTTTTCTTTTTTTGTAAGCAAGTGCTAACAACTGTATTAAGCAGAACTCATATACATACAGCTTACACTATATACAATTATCTATGAGTTCTGTTAATAATGTGTATGATATGCATGTGCTACATTATGTATGGACAAGATATGATAGAATAGCCTATTAGACTGTATATAGATACAATATAATCCCTAAGCACAATATACACATGCAGTACACAGTATATTACACCATATTCAGGATAAGGAAGAATAGTACATTACAGATGCACATATAGTAATTGCTTGATAACATGAAGTTGCATAATACATGTGGCAATAGCATTGTGTCGATTAAAAAAAAAAAATTAAAAGTCAAAATTTGGTCTGGTTCTTAGCCATGTCAATTTGCCGAATCGTAAGCCAGGTCATGATCGCCCCAAAATTGGCAACAATCATGACATTTTATGAAATCAAGAAATAAGAATTTATGCATTCTGAAAGTGCAAAGGCTCTCTTTGCCTTTTCAGATGGGTGTGGTTTGAATAAGGTTGCAACCTAAAACAATAAAGGTAAGGTGCATCTCCAAACTCTGTCACAAGATATAATTTTGTTATCGAATTATTAGGATGGCCCAATATTCTATTTTCATCTCTAATTATAAATTTTAAACACCAAAAATGGTTCAGATCAAGCACATCTATAAATGTTGAAAATTTTGAAAATGGACAGTCCAGATAATTGTATTGCAAGATGTATTATTTCTTGGTACAATAGTACCAAATTGTACAATTGTTTCCCAAGCCAAAAGACCATGTTACGAAGATTTGTTTCAAACAAAAAAACGAAAATCATTTTCATTCATCTCTGAAAAATGATTTGGGGTTCAAAAGAAGCTCCAAATCAATTCCCCCTTCAAGATAAACTCTAGACCGTCCATTATATGGATGATTATACCGCGGTTTTAAGAACTTGAAATCATTTTTTTTATTTTTTCCACAAGACAATCAAAGATGATATGAAAAAATTCAGGTCAAAAAGATCCAGATGTATATGGTACTTTTTTCCACACAACTTGCATACATTGTAGTACCAAGGGACTAAGGTAGGAGAGCCTTAGTTGTGAGGATACTCATCCTTAACAACAAAAAGATGAAAAGGGTAATCTTTTTCCTTTTCTCTCTACTCCACTTTTGATTTACATAATCTCCCTCCTCCAGTGTAACTTGTGAGGGCATCTCCAATTAGACAATCTTGGTCTATCAAAGCTCAAGGAGTTCGTCAATACACATTTGAGTACTGGAAGATTTTTATCTCCACTTTTTATAATCCTTTCAGGTTATATTGAAACACAAAACTATTTCAGAGACCTTGAAAACCTGTCAAAGGGATTCTTTGGCCATTTTGTAAACCTCCACTCTTTGAAAAAGCCATGACAACTTTCCCTACCATTTTGTAAGCCAATATTCTTCAAGGAAAGCTTGTTCATCGTCATGCACCACATTTTGTGCCTTGTCAGCCTCGGCCTTCCGGTCAACCCAAGGCTTGCACACCCCTCTCAACTAGGGGTGTAGATGTAAAGAATTGGGTGACCAAGAGTAGCTCTTCCCACCAATATGGCACACGTGCAATATGAGCACCATGGAGAAGCCACATCCTTAGGCTGTTGGCCCAAAGGGGGTTCCCTGGCTCTCCCCTTCAACCAACACACATGCACCAAGCTAGGGGTCTAACACAAGGATGCAATGGATATTTCCTTGTAACGAGAGTCAAAAGCTTAGCCAGTAAACAATATCACAATGAAGCCAGCATCTAAGTGGAAACTCTTGCAAAAGAACATAAAGGAACAACCAGAGGAAGCAATTTTAAACTGAAAAAAAACTTGATTCACTATCCCTACTGAGTAATATTCTCAAATATAAGGATAAAAGGGACAAGAGATCTCTGATGCAGAACATAAATGCAGAAGCTTAAAATACAGCTATTCTGCTGGCAGAAGGAAAAATCTGTCATGTGATGAATCATAAAATCCAAATAAAAGAAGCCAAACCACAGTCCATATACCTTAATGCTAAAGAATATATCATTACTGAGGTCATGTTTTCTACAATCTACAATTCTAAAAGATCGCTTAACCTAATGTTAATCTGATAAAAGAGTATACTCTCAAAGGTTTACCTTAAAATGAGATCTTTAAAAGCAGGGCAATAACAAGTAACAAAACTGCAGGAGGCAACAAGAGTGTGACGGCAACCGACAACCCGCACACTTAAAAACTCTATTATAACTTCAGAAAGAAAGAAAAAAAGCGAGATTACATTTCTCACCTTGATCTTCATTACATTGCTTAATTCTAGGTCACCCCTGAATATGGTGACAGGAGATACAGTCCGGGTTTGGATGGCACCTAATAAGGAAGCCCGGTCCTCAACAAATACTGTTCTCGCAATTCCTTTCCCTGAAAATCTACTCAAAAGGTAGTCATTCTCATTTACTATCCTTTTGTCTGCAACCCCAGTAAATTTTCCTCTCGCAACAATACACTCCAGCTTCATCCCATGAGCTTTGAGCTGTTCACATAGGGCGTCAATCTGATCGTCTTTGGTTCCTTCATCTGGCTCTTTAATGGGGTGTTGTGCATTAGTTACAAGACAAAGCCGCTTCTTTCCCTTGTTTGTTGGGCCAAACTTCTTTATCAACAAATCCATCCCCACCACAATAGCATCCAAAACTATGACAGTCAAGGACATGGATATGTACCAAGAAGCAAAAACAGATACATCTTTGAGACTAATTGAGCACATAGAAAACACCCAAAAAATTTAGAAGTATTCTGAGTAGGAGAAATATAGTGTTTACTTACAAAATCTTTACCATATAAGAAATGACAAACGTCAAACTCAAAAACCAGGTAGCCTGAAAACTTCACAACTATCCAAGAAAAAATCCACAACCATCAAACTAACTCAGTGTCTCAGTCTCAAACATTGTTGCAAAATCTGGGCTGGCTAATCCAACCAAGCTGGATCAGTCCAGATCAGCGGTTCCGAGATCAGCTGGTTCATCCTTACAGAGCCCGTAAAATAAAACAAAAAAGTGAAAATGTGAACATGAGATTTAAACTGAATTTTCAGTTCTTTCTGTCAAAACATATTTCTTGATCAGATTTTGTGAAAGAATTCAAAAAAATCCGACTCTTAAAACCCATATTTTGATTTAATCAAATTTTATGAAAAAAATTTCTTTAAATTTTTTTTTGAAAAAGCCTCAAATTTCTGATTTCTAATTTTATCGAGCCGGGGTTTAGATGATTTAATCAGATTTTATGAAACAAAAAAATTTCTTTAAAAAAAGAAATTTGAAAAAAGCCCCAAATTTCTGATTTCTAATTTTATCGAGTCAAGGTTTAGATCCAAAAGTTTTCGTTATGGAAATGGTAGAGCAGTGAAAGAGGATCAAAACAAATCAATTTCTACACAAAATGGATACAAATCAATAGAAAATAAGGGAAACAGGCTGATCAGGGCAGAAAAAAAGGTGAAAAAGCCTAAAATTCATGGCTCACATTTCTTCAATTATTGGTCAGATCTAAAAAAATTTAACAGATATCAGATAGACGACTGAGAACAAATGAAATTGCACTAAATTTCAGAGAAAATGGATGGGAAATGCAAGGGAATGATGAAAAATGGTGAACCAGGCAACAGAAAAATGGATTGATTTCTTCGATTTGGAGTTTTGTTCCCAAAATATTTCACAGATATCTAACAGAGCAGTGAAATATAAACCAAATGCCTCAAATTTGAGCAAAAACTGATAAAAAAAGAGAGATTCATGAAATTTTCGAACATGGCATTTTTTATAGGTTCAAACATGGGTGATTTCCCCATTTCTTGTCAAATAAGTGGACCAATTCTGACAAAACCAAGTTAGTCAATCTAAATTGAACCAATTCTCGATTCCATAAAGGAACCTGGATGGTCCCCTGCTGATCCAGATCAACAATTCCTGATCCAAATTGGCGATTTTAAAACCCTGATTTCAAAACTTTCAATCCAACATCAATCTGGGTCTACCTACCGTCGAGAAGAGTAAAAATGCAATACACTATTGATGCAACAAGCAAACAAGAGAAACTTTAAATAAAATAACTTTATATGCAAATTTTGAGGTCCAACAATTGCTACATTGACAGGAACAAATAAATGGCCATAAGAAGGTTTATTCCAAGCGCTAGTAAAGTACCAACTTAAGATCATATCCTTCTTCTGTTAGAAAACATAAGTTTTGAAGCCACAACAGCAGGTTGAGAGAAAGAGATCATACCAATAGCTAGAGGATCCCAAATTAAAATCACTGAATATGATGCCTTTCAAGATGCCCAGAAAGAAATTTTATATCAAACATCAAGATCTCACAAACCAGTCAGACTCACTATTTGTTTTTTAAAATAGTTATTTAAAGAAAACAAAAGATAGCTAAATTCACCATAATATTCACACTGGTTTACATAGGACATAGTACAACCAAACCAATTTTTAAATCGGTTGGGACCAGATAGATGCAGTTTGGATTGCATTATTGACATTAGGACTGATTCAGCCTGGCTTTGGCCTAACCTTGGTAGAATGATAGGAGAAACCAGTTTGGATCCATGCCGGTAAATTAGAATATATATCCTACAAAATGGCTTCAGTTAACAAACACCGAACATGTCAAATGTGAACACAGGAAACCAATATGTCTAATCAGAAATGATCCAGGATACAATCCCCAGGCGTAGTTCCTCTAGGAAGATCGCTTAAAACTTCAAATATATCATCAGCAATAACTTTGATAGCCCGCACAACCACCACATGTTCATATCCACCCACTTCTTTTTCCAGCTCGTTATTCGTATCTAAAGATTCCAGAAATGAAGCTTCAGCGCTTTGTAAATTAATCAAACGCAGAGGATTAAAAAACCTCATAAAACCAAAAGAAAGAATCAAAGCATTCTAGTAGAGCAAAAAAAGCAGTTGTTCTGATGAAGAAATAAGAAAACATGCTCCATTATAACAAGAAAGATGTACAATATTGAACAAAATATCGTGACTATATTTTAACATTGTTAGAAAGTTTGAAGATTGTGGTTATTTATATTTATCCAAAGAAAAACATTCATGAATTAACTGAAAGAGTATTTAGGCCAAGTTCATATTTCATAAACAACTTGACAAGGAGTTCAATCTAACTACAAAATATAAAATTAAAGGGAGATTGCGGCTCACGGATTGATGGAGACCTTCAAATATGAGAAAGAAACGAAATTGCAATCACCTTCAGCCTAAACTAAAAAACCTGAGACTCCCCTTTCTATAATCAGACCCAATTAACATACAGATGTTGAAATAAACAAGTACAATGGTTAGCCATGCGGGTGACTGAAGCAAGTCTAGCAAAGTCATATCTTCATATATAAAATAAATAATTTGTTCTCTTTGAGTTAGCTAATATTTATTGCATGCCTTTAACAAGAAAAATTTTAATCGTCTGGTGACAAGGATTAGGCTTGAGCCATCAAGTATGCGGATATCTTCTACAAGGATGACAATCTACTTTAGAGGCATCCTAAATTCAAACAGTAAGAATACCAGTGAACCTACAGTGGATTTTCAACTAGTATGATAATATAAGCATGGATTCCAGAACTTCGTATTTTTGAGACAAACTGTACCTTGGGTACCAAAAAGAACAACTGCCACTTCATCACTCTTGTTGTCAAAAAACTGCACAAACAGAAAAGGTATGAGATAACCCTCGCTAGATTGCCAGCAGGCGACTCCTCTATCATATGAAGAGACTGAGCAATTATTCAGGTTACTTTACCGAATAAATAGTGCATAGAATTCAAGGCAATCAAGAAAAGGCTAACAAGTGGATCCTAAGGGACTTTTGTACATGCAACATGACTAAAAATATGCAGTTCTTAGGGAAATATGGATGTTCAATAAAATTGCGTACCTTCCTTTCAATAATCATGTGGCACAGTTTACTAACATCAGGAAGAAGATTGTGCATAGATGGGCTAACATCTAACAAAAAAACCAAAGCCTCCTGCAACATATTCCAAAATAAATAGTTCTATGAGAGAAAGCAACATTGATTAGAACACTAGCACTTATAATTTTAAATAAAACCCCACAATACTTAATTCATTTCCAACATTCCATATCAACCGAATGACCAGTTTTGCTCCTATAAAACATATGCTCATTAGTAAAACAAAAGGAATTACATGACAATTTTTTAAAGCACGTAACAATTCTACATTTGGCATATAGGGTCAACACGACTATAACAAAATCATCATTGAAGTGAGTAGCCGCCAACGAGTGAAAATAACCATTACCATGATATGAAAAAGATACCAAGCTCCTATAGGCGAAGTGCTACAGTATTTTACCCTATATGTTCCCAAATCCCAACCGTCCAAGCCAATGTCGTTGGTTATAATCGAGGGACACTATTAATTTTATTTTATTAAGCTGAAACTTTAAGGATGTGTGCATCTCAATTTCGCATACTATAAAAATAAATACGTAATTCTAAAAAGTAAAATGGCAAAAATTCCCTAGCAATGTTGCCGAAAATTTAAGAATTATTTATTTATATTTTAAACTGCACGAGGGTGAAAAGTATCATCATCATCAAAGCCGTATCCTAATTATATGGGGGTCTACTACATGAATCATGTTCTTCTTAGGATTCATGATAAGATGTGACAAAATTTTATACTGGTTGTTATACCTAACACAACCCACCTCCTTTACCCGGGCTTGGGATGGATTAAGGGAAAGTTACCAACGAGGGTGCAAAGTATGTGTACCCAAAATTTCAACTCATTCAGATTTATGTTAAGTATATTTGTAATTAACTCTGCCATTGCCGGTCCCTAGCTCTAATGAGAAGAAAGGAGGGTTGTGTTGGATTGGTAGTCAACGTAAAACGTTTGCCATATCGATATCATGAATCCTTATCCAGTATTACAAGCACATGTTAAGGCATTGCCTATAAGTGTTTTACCGACATCTGAGTTTAATAAAAAATGAGCGAGGCTTAGCTAGGCCGTTCCCTAGAAGCAATGCGCAGCAAAGGCAAAGGCACCCGGTTGCAGTGATATGTAGGCAGAAATTCCTATACCATTTTGGACAAGCTTTGGTAAAAAAGCTAGTCTATGCTGATAGAATTCGCCTAGCCACATAAAATATAGGAACTCTGATTGGTAAGAGTAGAGAGTTAATGGATACAATGAGATAATGAAAGTTAACATAGCTTGCTTACCTGAAAATAAGTGGAAAGGGGCAAAATCTAAAGAAATTGATGAATATAAACTTTTGTACATACGAAAAGATAATAATAAAAATGGCATAGGTATAATGGTAGACAAAGATTTAATTGATATAAACTTTCGTGTATAGGACAAGAGATTAATAGAAATTGCACAAGTATAATGGTAGACAAAGATTTAAAGGATAAACTAATGGATGTTAATAGCATAGGTGACACGCTCCTATTAACTAAACTTGTCTAGGGGATGAGATAATGTGATAAGTGTGTATGCGCTATAGGTAGGATTAGATGGTAGCAAGGTTTAAAAAAATGGATCGATGACCCAGATTGGCCACCTGAAAAACCGTGTCGGATTGGTGGATCGGCGATCCAGATCGAAGAATCAGTCAAATTCTGTATATTTAAAAATATTCTGTAAATTTTTTGGCCTAAAAAAAATTTTCAAAAATTATTATTTTTGAGTTTTGAAAAACTTTTGAGGGTGTTGCATTATGTACTTTCATTATTTGTAAAAATACATAAATATTGAGACGTTATTTCTTGTTTGGATGTCGGTATAACTATTAATTATGTTATAATATTGCATCAAAATAATTCAAAAAATATTAAAAAACGCTTCCATGTTATGAGATGAAAAAAAATACCCCTTATAAAATGAAATTAGTATCACATCAAATATTTATTTATTTTCTTTAGATATTAAGATTGTAATATTATCTTATTATCATATTATATAACTATAATAAGATTTTTTAACTATAATAAAAAAAATAACTATAATAAAAAAAGTTAAATTATATTTGGGACTTATATTGTGGACTATTGTTTTATGGTATAACTATTATAAGATGTCACATCGTAGTCCCACATTGTAGCCTTTTAAAATATAATAAGATTTACCTTAAAAATCTAACTACTATATTGTCTTATAATATCATCTAACATATGACATTTGTCATAATAAGAAGTTTCGCAATGGTAAAACTTCGGTAAAAATGGCATCTAACAGCTTATGGAATGGACATTCCATTATTAATTTACCATTTTACCGTAAAACTATTAGTCTCACATCGTTGCCAATAAGAAGTAAAGTTCGGTATAAAAAAGAGAGAACCCAACTCCTTGTAAACAAGCCACACGTGAGGCATGAAATAGGTGTGTGATGTGACATGCATTGGTACGTGGGGCCAATACTGACGTGTGCCATTTTGATAGTAATGATCCACCTAGGGGACAGGCTAGTGGAGGCCATGATGTGCCTAGGGGACATGCATAGTATTGGGCCGCCACAAGCTTTTTAAGTAATAAAAAATTGAAAACTATAAGAACCGGTTCAAGCGTCCAGTTCACTCTGATAGAACTGGGTACAAACCAATCCGACTAGCTGGTTTTGGGGGGACACGGCCGGTTCCTGATATATTGAGGGAACCAGATCGCCCAAAACGATTTTTTATCTGGATCGTGAATTTTAAAACACTGGATGGCAGATTAAAAACCGATTTTGGGATGACGTCGATGGACTTATCCCAGGCATACAAAATGGATAGATGACATTTTAAAAAAGGGACTTAGATGGTCATGTAAGAAAAGACAGCAGAGGATATACACAGATACATAAAGGATATGGATTTTGGGAAAGAAACGAGATGGGTGATGCTATTCTTGATTTTGCTCTAGCTTACGAAGTAGCAATAGCAAATACTACTTTAAAAAGCAAGATGAACATCGAATAACTTACAATAGTAGATAACATGAAAGCTAGATTAACTTGTTTCTAATTAAGAAGGCAAAAAGACCATGCAGAGACTGTGAGGTCATCCTAGGAGAGAGTTTAACCATGCAACACAGGCTCATGGTTATGGACATTAACATAAAAAGATTGAAGAATAGGAGCGAAATTAATTGGTGTCCAAGTACTATAGGTGGTGGAACTTAAAAAGGGATAAAATAGACTTATTTAGAAAATTGATAAAAGAAAGAAAATGGAACTCTGAGGATGAAGCTAACGTTATGAAATGGTTGATTGTATTAAGAAAGTGGCAAATGAAATTTTAGGAAAATCTAAAGGGAAAAGATATTCAAATCAAGTTTTCAAAAGACGCTAGGCGGCTGGCCTGCTGCAAGCACCCAATGCCTAGGTGGCCGCCCAAAACCTTGGGCTTCCTGTAGTAAAAATTATGCAAATATATGCATCTGTGTGCTTTCCAAACGCAGACATATGCATATATTTATGTTACTTTTGCAATGTTTAGCATTTTTATAAGTAACGTATTTCATACAAACAGATCACGTGTCTTAAGAATAAACATGTTCAAAACTTCAAATCATAGAAACTTTAGTGAAAAAACTCAAAACCGTATAAAGTGTATTACGGTATTAGTCTCCAACTATCCAAATTCCATAATCATATGGATTCCAAGTCTTCAACAGTACAAAACCAATAGTCCATAAAGGCAAAACTCCAAAATCCAAATGTTCAAACCAAGATGGTGCAATAAAGATGAAATACAAAAGTAGAGAGAGGACATCTTCATTTCTCCTCCAATCGTCATCCTTCAATAGATTTGGGCTTAGATTCTAATATTTTTTTGACTTTGGGAGTTTAGAATAACCTCAAATGCCTCTTAAGAAAAAAATGTGAGTAAAAAATGACCCCACTTTCTTCACAAAAAAGAGCGCAGGTCCTAGGCCTTTCCTATGATTGGGGGCCGGACACCCGCCTAGGCTGCTTGGGCGACATCAAGTACTGGCTCCTAAGCCTGGGCATGCACCTTGGGGTCTCGCATGTGCCTATGCAAGCGCTTAGGTGCCGGAAACGGACCATTTTTTGAAAATACTGATTCAAATAAAGAAACTTGGTGGAGTAATAAAGTTCAAAAGGCTATTAGTGAGCTTTGCAATAGAATAAAAAATCAAAACTTTTTCTCAAACAAAGAATGATGAAAATCAAAACTTGGAAGAATATAAAAATACCAAGAAAAATACAAAGAAAATAGTAACACTAAGCTTAAGGTATATGATGATCTATACAATAAATTGTGGATGAGAGGGGCGATGGGCACCCGCCTAGACCACCTGGGCGGGCACCCAAGTACTGAGGCCCCAGCCTAGGCATGCACCCTGGGGCCTCGCCAGTGCGTAGGCAGGCGTCAAGAGCGGACGATTTTTTAAAACACTAATTCATATAAAGCAACTTTGTGGTGGAGTGATATAGTTCAAAAGGCTATTAGCAAACAATTGAACATGTTACAAAGCTTCGTAATAGAATAAAAATTATCTAAACTTGGAAGAATATAAAAAAACTAAGAAAAACACTAACAAAATAGTAACACTAAGCTTATCGTATATGATAATCTATACAATAAATTGGGGACGAGAGAAGGTGAAAAATATGTTTTTAAACTAGCAAAATGAGAGGAAGTGTAGGGCTGTAGATCATGTTGAATGCATTAAAAGTGAGAATCAGAGGATCTTGATGCAGGATAAAGAGGTTAATGAAGGTGGAGAATTTATTTTAAAAAATTGTTAGATGAAAACTCTTGGAGCACAGCGCTAGGAGGAACTTTGACATAAATGAGATCAGAGGTCATGGACACATTCATAGGATTAGGATATCTGAAATGAAAGAAGCTTTAATAAAGATGAAGGTAGGAAAGGCTTTAGGACCAAATGGTATACCAATAGTGGTTCGGAAATGCATGGGAGATATCAGCGTATTGTGGTTGACCAAGTTATTCAACGAGATTTTGAGAACAAAGAAAATGCTAGACGAATGAAATTAAAGTATTGTGGTACCTATTTACAAGAACAAATAAGATATACAAAGCTGTGCGAACTATCGATAGATCAAAACAATGAGCCCATGCTATGAAGTTGTGGGAGAGAGTCATTGAGCAACGACTAAGATATAAAACGAGTATATCAGAAAATCAGTTCATGTTTATGCAAAGGTGGTCAATCATGAGGCTATTTTCCTACATAGGTAATTGATTGAGAAGTTTAAGGAAAAGAAAGACAAAAGACTTGGCCTTTATTGAGATAGAGAAAACAAATAGTAGAGTACCCAGAGAGTTAATTTGTTAGGTATGGTAGGGTACCTAGAGAATTAATTTGGTGGATGCTAGAAAAGAAATGAGTCTCTAAAGGATATATTGACATGGTGAAGGTTATATATGCGGGAGCCCTAACCAGTGTTAGGATAACTAGTGGAGAGACAAGTGAGTTTTCAGTGACAGTAGACCTACATTAGGGGCCAACGTTGGTCCATATCTCTTTGTGTTGATTATAAACAGCTTAACTAGATATGTATAAGATGAGGTACCATAGTATACATTATTTGCAAATGCCATAGCTTTGATTGATGAGACTAGAGACAATGTCAATGCAAATTTTGAACTTTATAGGGACGTTTTAGATTTTAAAAGTTTCAAATTTGTTGGACTAAGATAAAACATATAGAATGCAAGTTTAGTAATAATAAGAATAGAAACAAGGATAAGAATAGAAACGAGGAATTAGTTAAGATTGATGGCCCATAAGTACCTAAAAAAGTTATTTTTAATATATTAGATCGATAATCCATGAGAGTTGAGCGACTGAGGAAGACATCGCGAATAGAATTAGAGTTGGGAAGAGGAAGTGGATATGTGCTTCTGGAGTCTTATGTGGTTGTTGCATACCAATGAAATTACAAGGGAAGTTCTATAGGACAATTGTAAGACCAATCGTACTTTTTTTGACATAATGTTGGGCAGTCAAAAAACAAGATATCTATAGAATGAGTGTAGCTGAGTGAGGATGTCCAAACAGATGAATAGAAAGACAAGAAAGGATAACATTCGGAATGAATACATATGAAGGAACTTAGGGGTTGCTCCAATAGGTGTTGAGCTGAGGGAAAGTAGACTTAGGTGTTCTGGCCATGTGCAGTGTTGACCTAGAACAGCACTGGTTAAGAGGGGTGACTCGGTTCAAGTGGAAGGCTCTAAAAGAGCAAAGGGAAGCCCAAAAGGGCATTGATGGAAGTAGTAAGAAGATATATGCTGACTTATAGTCAAATTGATGATATGGCCCTTGAAAGAGCGAAATGGCAACGCAGGATTCAACTAGCGGACCCCAAATAGTTGGGATAAGCCTCGGATGATGATGGTGATGATGAAGGTATAATTATAATTCCAAATGTCAAAGGGCTTTTTAAAATTTAAAGCTAATTTTCGAAAGGACACAAAATAACCTTACCTATTAAAATTGCATAATACATTGTTTGGAAATTACAGAAAATGGGAAATTTGTAATATTAAATTGTTTCCAAAATTCAAACTCAGTTAAAAAGGGCAAGGTAATCTTCTTGAATTTGGAAGTTGAAACTTTTAGGGATTTGAAATGACAAAAATACCCTTCCTATAAAATACATGAACTTATTACAGTCAATAGTCATTTTTTAACATATCAAGGTATTTTAAGGTAGAAAACCGGAGTAGGGAATTCTACGTTCCTCACTAGATATCATAGAACAACCCCCACACACAAACACACACACAATCTTTTCATTTAATACATATGAACAAGTGATTTTATGTCCAATAGTGACAAGAATCCATAATTCGCAATGGGGACAACATAGTAATCACGTAAAAATTTGTATGGCATTGCGACAAATGATCAAATTTGTACTCCAAGACAATGAGCATCCATACTCCTAAATTAGTTGAGGGAAGAATTGGCTAATCCTAACTCTCGATAGGAGTATATAAATTCTTCAAATCAAAATCAAACATGTACATTATAGTCCACCTAAAGATGAACCGCTTAATCTAATTCTCAAGCATTTGAACCGTCATTTCCCACCAGTGTGAGAAGACAAGGACTTGAGTCAGGACTCGCTAGGGTACCAAGCCCCAGTCAGGTCTAGCAGACTTGGCAGAGTCTGTCAAAGACTAGGCAACTGTAAAAAATAATAGAAGAATATTAGGAACCAGCGGCTGGTACACATGTGTTTGCTTCTCGGATCAACGGGGTGCAAAGCCGAAGTGACTCATGAGTGTCCGAGTATGCCCACCTGAGACTCGCCTGAGTTTTCAGGTACCGTTTCCCATTCTTTGGGTTTGAAATTTAAACTCTCAAATACATAGCGTGTACAGTTTTCAAATGTTTTGATTTTGTGAATTTCATTACAAAGATAAAAAAAAAAAATCCATTCACTGTTTTCAGGAACTGTGTTCAGTTGAAATCAGTAAATGGCCACAAATCTTAACAAATGGAACCATATTGATAACAAACCAAACCTCGTTCCACAATATGAAAAATCATCTCCCAAAAAAAAGGTTAGTCTCCATTTGAAACTGGTTACATGTTGTTAGAAAAATGACATGGTGATATATTTAGACAAGGGGGTAGAGAGATGGGTTATTCTTCATTCAAAATTAGTGAAATATAAAGGAAAAAATAGTAGAAATATACCCTGTTTCGGGCCATTCTGAGACTCTGAAGCAGTGATAGTGGCTGGTACAAATCGTCGATAAAGGGAGACGTTGAAGCAGTTATCGTGGCTGAGAATGGGGACGAACAGTAGAGCGAGAAGGACTACAGAGAGTAGACTCAGTCGCAAGTAGTGAGAGAGAGAGAGAGAGAGAGAGAGAGAGAGGAGGTATAGAGAGTGGTCGGTACCAACTAAAACCTACCCGCGTACTAACTTAACGTTGGACGGTAGTAAGCGACTACCCGTCCCGACACT